CATCTATAAACGATCTTGGTTATTAGCTCTATTCTTTCAACTGGCGCGCCTATACTTATGAAAAATGGGAGTTTTTAACCTATTAAACATAACTAACATTGCTTTTAACCCTTTCAACTGAATGAAATCGATAGAACTATCATTTCTGCACATATGCGTTGTATTTCTTCTTTCCTAAACTGATTTCTTTAATTACATGACAGCGATCTGTAAAACAAGGTAAAAACAAATCGTCGTCTGGTCGAGAACTTCTACTTTTTTTATTCAGAGAACATTTTAATGGGAAAAAAACCTCATATTCGTAATCAGCGTACTAAATAAGCTATGTCTAGATCAAAGTCCGGGAAAAAAAAAGAAAAAACAATTTTCGTTTTCGGGAGGGTGACCAAGGCACAATGATTTTACAAAAAAAAAATAATTTTTTTCCCAAACAAAGTACAGTATTTTGTTCAGAATTTTATACTGATTCCAACCATGTAACTATTTTTCCAGAAAATAGTTCGATTAAAAACTGACTTGTCTTTTCTCGAAAAACAATGCAGTACGTTTTAGTATTTTTTCGATAAGTCCCTTAAAATCGAACCTTTTTCAAAAAACCTATATATGTTCTGAAAGAGGAGACTTTGAGGCATCTACCCATGATAAAAACTCAAACTTAAATCTTTTTGGAAAAATCGACTTTTTTAAGGAGGGGGGCCCCCTTAAACGAATCAAATAGCTTTTGGGTAAAATTGTATTTTATTGAAATTGCTTTTTCATCCTGCGTTCGCTAACGTGCCAAGACAAATTAATGAGTTTTCATAAAAAATAATAAAGAACATTTTCGATGTCTAGCTTTTGTTGAATTATAATTCCGACACACCAAAATAGCTGATACATATCGACTTGTAAAGTAGAAAACGGGTCAAGAACTTCGTCAACCCATGTTTAATTTTTCTTTTCAAATTCGTTTAAAAATATATGGATAATACAAACCTGTTAGTTCAGATATGGCTCACTCCAACTCTAAGAAATTCCATTCGTCTGCAAGCTCATAATATGGTTTAGCATCATTCAAGATTTGTGCAGAAATTTATCCATCGGATGTTATTCAAACACCGACGTATTTTTGTTTATTGAGTTTTGTTTTCATCGCTCATAATACTTCGCTTTATTATTTGAAAAAATAACTTATTAAACTTGTTTGGTATTTATATTTATATTCTGAGAGACGAGTTGAATCCTAGATAATTCATCGTTAACATGTAAATATGCTCATGAAACGATAAATATGATCTACAATATACGTAATAGCTAGTAAAATAACCAGTTTTATCTTTTTAGAAACAGATAAACGACCAATCTTTCGATCGATATAAACCTATTTGTGAGTATGATTGAAATAATGGCAACAAGACATTTAGTCATCGATAGCCACATTTTGATGAAAAATTCATCACTTCAATCACTACGTGGAGAGTTGAAACAGTACAAAAGTGTTTCATTTTAATGACGCGCGGTAGATATGGAAAACCTATCTAGAAGACTCGACGATTAATAGTCAATGAAAATCGGTGAGGGTGAGGGTGTGGGTGTGGGTTTAGGAAAGGGGCCTTCGAGAATAGGGACATCAAAGGATAGGGACATGGCCGCAAGGGTTGCATGCGAATTCGGGAAAAGGACCGTCGAGAAAAGGAATTTTCAACGGTTGGGACACAGAATGTTTTTGGTTTCATACATTTTCCTTGATTTTCTAAAATTCCTGTAATTCCATCGACTTTTTAGCTAGTAAGACATGAGATGTATGCAAGACTAGAATTCCTTGAATTTCTTGAAGTCCTAAATGGTGGATGATGGATATATCTCTGAGAACAACATGCATGTCTCTAAGTAATCATTAAAACATTTCTACTTCTCATTCTGGAACATATTATGCATGATTGTAAACATCTCAACAGTACATCCTCATTGGAACAAAGGAACGGCGCGAAGTAATAAGAGTAAGGGGGTGGGGGATATTTTTAAAAATGGGAGAAAAATCAAAAGAAATCTATAAAAAGCAAGAAATTTAGTTTAAACTGTTAAAAGATATTGGTACGTTTGAGTAATTAATGGAATAAATGAGTTTCGTTCATGAATAAAACTTGCATTAGCAATCGTTTCACATCCATATATTTTCTCTTTGCATAATTGTATTTCGCTTTACAACAAGACACTATCATTAACCTGTACCATTTTACTTATATTATAAGCCTCTGTATCAGTAAACTTCAGGATATATTCAGTAGATAATGCTGCTAAAGACTCAATATTTATATGGATAGACAATACAAGTTGTTTGTATTCTGTAATGAACTGATCGATAACTTGTCGAAATGTTTTTCTATCCCTATTCAACTCTCCCCAGACGAATTCCCAGGGAGTCCCCTTCAATATTCTAATTTTTGGGGAGTCTCTGTTATAAGACCCCGGGAGCTAAGAAAAATCTGAAAAAATTTCTATCGAAACTCAAAAACCCACGTAAAAAATCTGAAAGTGTCTTCAAAAGCTTCTGACTGATTTCTAAAAACTGGCTGGGTAGTCCCTTCGAAATCCCAGGGAGTCCGTTGAGACTTCTACAGGGACTCCCCAGTCATTTTTTAGAAGTCCCTCGGAAATTTTTGAAGACGCTTACGGATATTTTACTTAGATTTCTGATAGTTTCGATAGAAACTTTTTCGTCTTTTCTTAAATCCCCGAGGACTCATGACAGTGACTCCCCAAAAGTTTGAATATTGACGGGGACTGTTAGATAGTTACGTTTACCTAACTCTTTATTTCCTTAAACCAACTCTAACTAGAATCACTTTAACAACTCTAAGGTCTCATGACCAATAGAGAGATAACAGAAAGAAGAAGAGGTAGTGGTCGCAGACAGCGCCACTACCTAACACCTCCACCCCTTGCAAGTGAACTGTTATACCTGTTCACGAGAAAAACAAACAGCGGAAAGAAAACAAACAACGAAAACAGCGCACAAAAAAAAACAATGCAATCACAGAGAAACACAAGGTATAACAACTGCATAAATGAAAAGAGAAAAAAAAACAGGATGTGAAAAGACAGAAAGGGTAGAAATTGAGAAAGTTAGTTTACTTGTGTTTTTCTTTCTTCTTTTTCTTCTTCACGTAGACGTAAATGTGTCGAATTTGGAGTATAATCGATCTGTACTGTAGCAACGATGATCGAAAACTTTTGATGGGGAGTTCGTAACAATTACAAATGTAAATACGATTGGTTGAAAACGTAACGTTAACAGTATGATTTTTAATATCAGTATTATCACTAGTAACTTGAGCATGAAGTTTTACTAATTCACTAACATAGATAAATTCATCATTAGCCACATGAATATCATTTAATGAACATGAATTAGTTTTATCACTTTCGAGTTGTTTTAATTCAGCTTCATGTGGAGGAGTATTATTAACTGCTACTGTAGATGAGCACGACCGTAGAATATTTGTAATTGTCGAAGATATAACATTTGGGATATTATCAACAATTGAATTGTTAATTGATTCAGTATTGACTGATTGATGAGATGATGGTTGTTCGGATAAAGTAAGCATATCCGATTGTTGATCAATATTTGTTACCGGTGTAGATAACGGTAATGTTCTAATGTAAGGTGATGACGGAGACTGTGTCTGAATTTGATGCACTTCGATCAATAGCTGATGATAAATTAAAATCAGGGGCCATCGACGAATAATTACAACGATGCACAACTGGTTGTTGTTGTTCAACTGTAATTGACTTTTGATTAAATGATGTTAAATACTTCGAGAATTTCTTTTTTAAACATAAACCAATCAGGGATATTTGATTTATGTAAACGAAAACATGTGCCAGCTGTACCTTTTAAATACGATTGTACAGCTAAATATTTATTCGATGGTTTTAATTGTACTTGATCAAATATACATTCAGTATCTTGTAACCAGTGTAGAACATCTTCATCACGAGCACCACCAAATGTAGTAAGTTTCTTTATTTGTTCTTGGACGAAAATCTGCATGCTTTGTTCGTCCATAATTAATAATAATACTCTTAGTAAGTTGTAACAAGCGTGTTGAAATAATTTATGAGGAGACTGGATGATCACCAATAAACATGTATATCTCAAATAAAGTACGAGGAAGCAATATGATCATAACATGAGCACCGATAAGAACAATAAGTTGAGGATAATGAATGTAAAGACCAACATTAATCTTGATATAACATCGAGAGAAAAAAAACAGGACGAGGAACAGAGAGAAAAAGTTAATCGAGGGAAAAAACTTATCGTGTTCGACGAATTGTGGTCGAAATGTATCACGAAGGGTCACGGCACCAATTGTTAGATAGTTACGTTTACCTAACTCTTTATTTCCTTAAAGCAACTCTAACTAGAATCACTTTAACAACTCTAAGGTCTCTTGACCAATAGAGAGATAACAGAACGAAGAAGATGTAGTGGTCGTAGATAGCGCCACTACCTAACAGGGACTCCTGGGCGATTCGTCTGGGAAGAGTAGACTAGGGTATAGTATTCTGTACTAAAGGAGCTGATTCGCATTTTTCTTTGGTTAATCAATCGGGCTACGACTAATTATGCATCAATGAAGTAGAAGAAATTGTTATTTTACATTATCACAGACACAGAATTTATATACCAATTTGTTCTTATAATTGCTATCAGTTATCTTTTTTTACTAGAAACTATTTTAGGAAAGAAACAGGAGAAATCTCCCATTTCCATCTTCATAAAACAAAGAGAACTGCAAGAAATATTTCCAAAATTCATGGAGCCTGAACATTAAAATTTTTCCGAATGAAAGTCTCAGATTAACTTCCTTTTTGCTACAGAAAATTCCTCTGAATTTTATTCTATTACCGAGAGACCATCTTTAATTTGGGAGGAAAAATCTCTTCAAGTCGGAGGAAAACTGAGGTCAAAATTGCCAAAATTGGAGAGGACCCCGCCCCCCCCCCTCCCCGTTCGCGCTGTCCCTGTTGGGTTGGGTGTGAGGTTCGAGCGAATGTATCACATGAGGAAATATTCACAGCCACATCCTACAAAGTCTTTAATATTTATTAAAACAAATAGTGATCAATTGAAATAGAACACTTAAGCTATTTGTACAATTAATATTTACTTTCAATCAAGAGGATGATATAGCGAACGAAAAGAGAGGAAGAAAATACTATTAACATGTGCTGAACTTTGTTTCCGCAAAGAATAAACCATTTCATCTCCACACAGAGAGCTATTCGAGTGTTACAATTTTATGTAAAAGATGATTTCTTTGTGAGATGTAGTACTGAAAGACAATATTTAGTATTCTCTGATTATTTTCTTTGTCTTTTTTTTAATTGACCTGTTTCTCATATTGGACTGGTTTTCACTTTCTTGTTTTCCCGAATGTATAAATGTTTTTGTTTTTAATTGAATCTATTTCATTTACGTTAAATAGTCAATCATTCGATTTATTTATCTGTATGATTATTTTCTCGACGATTAGTTGATTCTGATGAACGAAATAAACAGTTATATTTTCGTGTCTTTTTTAGGCAAATTAATATTTATAATTGAGAAAAATACAAATGAAAATTTTCTGGACGAACAAAGGACTCAGCTATAGAAAGAAATTTTAGCTAAGTAAAATTTAATTCTATTGCATTAATAGTAAAATGATGTGTTACGCTTATAAGTGATTGATATTTGATTGTGAGTGACACCAAACAAGGTAGATGAATATGTTTTTTGAGAATAAACTCTTCAACATGGTCAATATGTGCAAGCGTATGGTTAAGATTACGAAGATAAGGAAATATAACGAATGCAGACGAATGTTGTTTATTCTTTTGTTGTTCATCATTTCGCACAAACGGTTGTCGAAGAAACGGAAAAGATTTGGAATAACTTATGTTCAAAAAGACGTAAATAGATATGACATCGAGCTGCAGACTTCAATGGATTATCATCGGCATAGAAACCAACGTGTTGATATTTTCTTTCGATAAAACTACGACGAATATCGTCGTTCAATGGATGAGTAACATTGACAAATTTATTGCAAGCCCAAGTATTTATACTGAAAGTAAATTTGTTTAGTAGTGACATATGAATAAGAATTTGTTCGTATAATTGAGTACCATCGATACAAGTCGAATCATCATAACAAATTGTTTGTTAAATCGAGGTCGATGAAAAACATTTCAGTTTGAAAAGTTGTTGCTAGAATGAAAAATATATTTAATTCCAGATTTATTCAAAACGCAATGATAGATTGTATTTTTACCATGCCATCTATATCCGTTATTGAAATAGAAATTTTTTCTCTATCGATGATCAATGTTGATAAACGAGTGAAGCGTTCATCAAGAAGACAAAGATAATCATCAAAAGTATCGACATTAATTGTTAATTTAGTTAAAATCGGTTCGGAAAAGTGACATCAATCAAATGTTTTGGCCCATTCTAATATTAATTCAAACGCATATAGCTCCAATTCAATATCGAGATTAAGATGATAAAGTATTGAATGATCTTAAATATAGTGAAAAAAGGAATGACTTGATTAAGCCGAAGAATATTGAAAAATATATACCTGCTCTATATGGTAATAATGTTTCTAATTTAACCGAGACAAGTGATAGTGACTGAAGTTGAGGAAAATTATAAGTAGATAGAACACGATTTATTGAAAGCTGTCCTAGAGTAAGTTTGTTCATCTGATGATAAATTCGAGGCAGGATTCTTTTACAAATTCGATCAAGAACTTCTTTATATTCCTTAGATTTACAATCAAATAATGAAGTAGCTATGAAATCAAGATCATGAATATAGAAAAAATCGAGTGCCAATCGATCAAATCTTTGATCTAAACTCACACCCTGAATAGAGTATGTCGTCATTGTTCAGTTTGTTGAAAATAGAAAGTAACATTCCGTCAGGCAAATCGAGTATATCCATTTCGTTATTATTTAGCAGGTTCATACGAAATGGTACAATCTTCAAATTAACTTCGATGCATATATCTAGAAATAGAGACATCTCGCCAAACAATCGAGAATACTTATTGATGGTGTTTTGTTCGACGACGAATCATCAATGGCTAATATTATTTTTCTACTCTCTCTCATAGCTTATCAATTCGTTCGATCAATGTTTGTATGTTGCCTCATTTATCATGAAGCATTATGTTCAGAATCAATTCGAGTTAATTTCAATAAAAACGAGAAGATTGAAAAAAAATGTTTGAATTTTTATTTTAAAGATGAAATATTTAAGAGAACTTTTGTAGATATTTTTGCTATTAAATTGACCTTCGCTGGATATTTCTCAACATTTCTGTGAAAAATGTTGAATATTTGCATAAAATACAGCTCACAAATTTTATTCGACAGCTTTTCGTAGCCACATAATTCGCATTTGAGTATCAGATTTTGGCTATTCCCATTCTTGAAAAGCATCAAGAGGTCCGAGAACTTGTAAGACGGATGTTACATGGTGTCTATATATATAAATAAGGGTCTTCGAGTTATTTATTCATTTAGCCGCAGCAGTAGTAAATGGTAGTTGTGCTCAGTTGTGCATACATGAAACATTTCTGACATATTAGTGACACGAATTTCAGAAGTTTTACAAAAAAAAGACATCGATGACAGATCAGTCATTATTGATTCCAGATGACAAATGTGAAGAACACTCATTTTCATGAAAAGATGCATGTTATCTAATTTAAAGAGAGTATCTTTATCGTCTATCTCTTTTTGACGAACACATCCGATTTATAGTACGATTATGACTTTGTATACAAGTGATTTATTGTAAAAACATCGACGGAGAAAAAGTTTAAAACTATTCTATCCGATAAGATCCTCCGTGAATACCTTAGCTACCCTCGTTTACATCTGTAAAAAAGAGAAAATTGTTTTTTTTTTCAATTTTAGACTTTATTCTGCTGATAGATGTATTATAAAGTTTTATTTATTGTGAAATTCTCTAAAATGATTATTTCAAGTTGAGAAAAATAATTGTAGAAAATCAGTCATCTTCGTTATGTGAGTTAGTTTTCTGTCAAAAATAATATTATACTTGTTTTTCATCTATAGATATTTGCTTGATTAAACACTTTATTTTCAACAATTCTAGTCATAATTATTAAATTTTCTACGAAACAGAGTCCATCATAGAGCAAATTTCTTGTGTCAATATATGTGAGTTCCACAAAGCAAACCTATAAGTTGTTAATGACACAGACGTCAAATTGGGACTTAACCACTACACGATTGCGTCTACTAAGTTTTCATAAAGGAAATAACGCATGAGATAGTTATTATTTGTTTACCATATTTATTTGCAAATCTATAGTTTATAATTTTTCGTAAGTGCACGCATCAATGCGAGCTGACACTTTTAACGTATACCAAGTAATATTTGATCTCTGATGCATAGAACTTCATATAGATGTATCATTACCCATGTAAAAATTTTTATTGATTTAACGAAGCATCCTTACGTGAAAAATCATTAAAAATTTAACGACTTAACGATTAAATATGTTACCTTTTTGACCGTAAACACGCGTTAAATTTTCTA